ACACACACACACACACACACACACACACACACACACACACACACACTCACACACACGGAGAAAAGGTTGGGTTCCAGCAGCTGGAGTAATTTTAGCTCTATCTAATGATGTATGTTTGAATTACTGAAGTTAGAAAACTCATGGTTGGGGCTTCCCTGGTGGCGCAGCAGTTGAGAGTCCGCCTGCCGATGCAGGAGACACGGGTTCGTGCCCCGGTCCAGGAAGATCCCACATGCCGCGGAGCAGCTGGGCCCATGAGCCATGGCCGCTGAGCCTGTGCGTCCGGAGCCTGTGCTCCGCAACGGGAGAGGCCACAACAGTGAGAGGCCCACATACCGCAAAAAAAAAAACAACTCATGGTTGGAACTTGGGCCCCATTGGGAGCTGCCATCTGTCCCCCTCCTTTGCCTCTGGAAGCTTCCTCACTGGCATGCAGCAGATCCCTATTTCTAAGAGATCCCTCTTCACCCTGCCCTAGAACCCCAAAAATAACCTCTGCTGATACCTTCCCTTGACACACACACACACACACACACACACACACACACACACACACACGTGCAGGAATAACTCCAGCCTCTGCTTTTGTCCTCCACTTTGAACTTTTTCCAGGCTGTGGCGCCTCTCCACTGGTCTTTCTATAGCGGCACATCTGAATTCTTTCTGTCTACAATAAGGTTAACAGATGCCTATTGTGAGAATACCAGATTGCATTTAATTTTAAAAATTTAATTGAACACTTTATTTTGAGGTAGATTCACATGCTGTGGTAACAAATAATACAGGTAGATACCATGAGCTCTTTGCCCAGTCCTCCCCAGTGGTAATATCTTGCAAAACTATGGTACAATATCAGAGTCAGGATATTGACATTGGTCTAATCTCCAGATCTTATTCATGTTTCCTTCATCGTGTGTGTGTGTGTGTGTGTGTGTGTGTGTGTGTGTGTGAGTTCTTTGCTATTTTATCACATGTGGAGGTCTGTTTATCAATCACTTTCTCTTGTGTTGACCCCGACATCTAACCCCCCACATCTTCTTCTTGCTCCCTCCTCCACCCCCCAGCCCTAACCGCTGGCAACCTGTTCTCTATTGCTATATTTTTGTTGTTTAAGAATGCTATATAAATGAATCATAACCTATGTAACCTTTTGGGACTGGCTTTTTTGACTCAGCCTAATTCCCTTGAGATCCATCCAAATTTTTGCATATATTAATAAGTTGTTCCTTTTTATGCTGGGTTGTATTCCAAGGTATGGATGTACCATAGTTAATTTAACCATTTACCCACTGACGGACATCTGGGTTGTTTTCAGTTTGAAGCTATTATGAATAAAGCTGCTATGAATACTCATATACAGGTTTTTCTGTAAAGTTAAAACATAAGTTTTTATTCTCTGGGATAATTGCCCAAGAGTGCAGTTGCTGGGTCATGTGGTCGTTGCATGTTTAGCTTTGTAAGAAACTACCAAAATGTTCTCCACCAGCAATGTATGCGTGATTCAGTTTCTGTACATCTTGGCCAGCAGTTGATATTGTCACTATAGTACTTCCTATTTTAGTCATTCTGATGGGTGTGTAGTGAAATCTCATTGTAGTAATTTAAGTTTTTAAATCTATCTTTATATTTCAACTTTTAATTGTAAACTGATTTGTGCAGCTTTCGTGTATTGTTTTTTTCCCTAATACATTATTTTATTTTTTTCCTAATACATTATTTTATTTTTTTCCTAATACATTATTTTATTTTCTTACTTCTTTTTTTTAATTGAACTATAGTTGCTATACAGTATTATATAAGTTACAGGTATACAATACAATGATTTGCAATTTTTAAAGGTTATACTCCATTTATAGTTATAGAATATTGGCTATATTCCATGTTGTACAGTATATCCTTGTAGCTTATTTATTTTATACATAGTAGTTTGTACCTCTTAATCCCCTACCCCTACCTTGCCCCTCCCCACTTCCTTCTCCCTACTGGTAACCACTAGTTTGTTCTCTATATCTGTGAGTCTGCTTCTTTTTTGTTATATTCACTAGTTTGTTGTAGTTTTTTAGATTCTACATATAAGTGATATCATACTGTGTCTTTCTCTGTCTTGTGTATTATTTGTCAGAAGCTTCTTTACTATTAAACAACTGTGTGGAGTGTTGGAAAAATTCCAATTTTCCACCAAATTTCTGCTGATATTCACGTAATTCCATTTCACTTGTCAATCCACCCTTTGTTTCAATATGCTTAGAATTCTATCACTGCCTGCTTTTGATAGATGACTTGATGCACAATGTTGAAAAATCTTCAGTAATTGTCAACTCAGAAGTTAACGTGACATATACTGCATGAATAGTGTAGTTAACAGGCTATTCTTGCCTTCATGGGTCCATTATAAAGGGAATTGCTTTGTCCAAGTACCAATTATGTTTCTATATTCATAAAATATTTTTCTAATCAAAAAATTAAACTATGAGAAATAGACATCTGACTATATCTCTTCCAGCCCTTCCAGAATGAGAATTCGTTCAGCCTCTCTGCCCAGTTCTGATCTGTAAGCTTCCACCTCGATTCCTTAATTCCACGTAGCCCAGGTCCCACACCAGCTTTCCGGCCATCATACTCGCCCCTGGGGAAAAATGAGAGGTAAGAGGGGAAACTCCGTGTCCAAGTTTTTATTTGTCTGGGAGGGAAATCGATGTTTTTAGCAGACAACTTGAATGTTCACTTTGAAAAAAATAGAGACCCAGTTGCTTGGATACAGCCAGAAATGCATATCATTGAATCTACAGACGACCTGTAGTCATTTTGTCCTTATTTGAGTGTCTAATGTGTTAAGGGGGAAAATGAGACAGCTCTAACAAATAACTCACACCTGCTTGGGCTTTCTCTGTTGGTCCTCTGGGTGTGTGTGTATGCATCACACACCCACACATAAGTGTGTAATGAATGGCTTAGTGTAAAACCCTGCAACAAACATCAATTCTGTAGATTACCAAGGAGGCCTAATTGGGTTCACTAGCAAAGCAACTTCTATAAAGACTATATATAGTAGGCACATGCCTCCGTAGGCAGTGCAGCTATTTATTTTTTTAATAGGGGATTCTCATGTTACAAGGGCATCACAGATTACTGAATAATTTATTTAATGGTAGATTATATGGGCTTCACTCTTTGCCAGTGAGCTCATACCCAAATGTCTAAAGGAGATAAGGTGAGCAAAAGCTAGAGCTCAGGCTTGGGTGAGCTGTTTTTTTTTTTTTTTTTAAGATATGCATAACTATTAGAGCCATATATACGTATTTTACTTAATAATATCTCAGCTGCATTGTCATATACATAATCGAGGCACCACTTCATTACTGACATTTAGCTAACTCGTAGCAATGCATACAACACATGGCGCTGAGAGACACAGAATAGAATAATAAATGACCTTGTCTGTAGTTGGTGATTTTAACAAAGGACTGTGATGTATAAGGGTATGTTTGTTCTCTATGAAAATATAGGGAAACAGAGGGAGCAAAATTCAATGAAAGGATGTTAGATTTGGAAAATGGAGACAAGAAAAATAGATCTGGATAGGTATCTTTCTGTGAACCTCTACTGTTATCTTTTCAATGATTTGAAATACAAAAAACAATCATTTCCAAGCTTATAGAACTTAAGACATTTTGCCTTGAACTGTATATAGTCCTCAGGTAAGCAGAGGTACCTTGGAACATGGATATACTTTTGTGTCAAGCAAAATTTTGATGAAGATAAAAAATTTATTTTAAAAAATTTAAAATTTGACAATAAAGATGGCAAAAGATTTGAACAGGCACATCACGTAGAAGGAAATTCACATGGCCAATAACTGTGGCAAGAGGTGCCTTATTTTTTTAGTAATCGGGGAAATGCAGATTAAACCCATAATGAGATATCCCTATACGCCCACCTGACAGTTAAAATTTTAAAGTTTGACAATAATAAGCGCTAATGAGGACAGAGAATAACGGGAACTACCGATAGTGGAACTTTGGATTGAAGCAGTGATTTTGGAAAATAGTCACCATTGTCTACTGAGGTTGAAGATTCACACAACCTGTTCACAAGTGAAGAAATGCCACTGTGGGAAAATGCCCTGGAGGTAGATGTCTATATGTATCCTGTGCACCAGAGTATATACAAGAATGTCTAGAGAAACATTGTTCCTAATGGCCCCAACCTGGAGACCAGGTTGTCTGCCCAACATAGAAAGGATAAGTGAGAACTAGAGCCACTTGCAATAGCAGGGATGAATCTCACAGACAGAATGTTGAGCAAAAGAAGCAAGACACATTTGGTAGAAAGCTCATAAACAAACAGGCAAAACTCAGTCTGTTGTTTAGGGATGCATAGAGAGAGGGTAAAACTATAAAGAAAAGCAAGGAAGTCATTATAAGAAAGGTTAGGATGGCAGTTACTTTTAGAGGAAAGGAAGGATTGTGATAGCAAAGAATACGTGAGACTTCTGGGCACTGGAAACGTTGTATTTCTTGACCCGGCTGTGGTTTCATGGGTTTTCACTTTACAGTTATTCACTAAACTGGGTATTAATTTTTAATGCACGTTTGTGTATGTATGTTATACTTCACACACACCTGCACACATGTACACAAACTATTAAACACTAAAAGATTGAGATTTGAAAAAAGAAACTTCCTAGTTCAATTTAGTTCCTTTAAAAAATGAACATGTTCAGTTGAATGAACACTTAAAACAATAAGCGAAATCTTATGTGTAGTTTCACATGAGAATTCTACAATGTAGTGCTGGAAAGACAGCCCGAGGAGAGGAAGAGCCCTTTTCCAGCAATCCCTGACCCTCAGCAGCCGTTTCCCTGGGCAATTCTTTGGGCCTCGATCCTCATCTGCAAAGAGGATCAGCCCTAATTAGAACTCCCCGAAAGTCTCTGGTGTATTCTTGGGAGTTCTCTGTGGGAAATTTAATTTTTTTTAAATAAGAAATTCTTACCGTTTTGATGAGAATCTAAAGAACATGCACATCACCTGGGTCCTCTGTGTGTCCACTTTAGAGCTGACAGTGCCAGGATCACTCTGTGATTATGATTACGTTGGGGTCCTGATGTGCTGTTTCAATTGTCTCAGGACACTAAGGTGAAAGCACAGGTGACCCTCAAGAGTAGAGTCTGCGTTTGCCAAGTGACCTCACGGAAGGCTCACAACCAGAGTTTTCACAGGAGTTTGAAGAGACCATGTTGTATGAGATGTGAGTTAGGGGACGATACCTAACCCCAAAAGTGACTCGGTACCCAGTGACAAAGTGAGGGGCAATTTACTCCGCAAAATCACGCCATCTGTCTTGTTAAAGTAATGCTGTTAACTTAAGATTTATTGGTTTGCCGTTTGGTTGTCAAAATCGTGACGCTCTTTTGATTTTATAGTTGTAGAAGTTACAAGCCTGTGGGATGCATGCCCAGTTTCATGCGTGTACATATTTAACTAACGATCCTATAAAAGTAATTTACATCAACACTGGAAATCCTCAAACATTTTTTTTTTCTTGAGAAAGCACCACATGTCGTTGGAATTTGAGCCACGCTGAACCCCGTGACCTTCACTGACCCTCCTGTGATTCTGTTCCCATTTTGGAAGTCAAGCCCTTTCCAAAGCAAGTGGGAGGGTGTGTCCCCGGTGCAGCCTGGAAGCCCAACACCCTCATCTCTAGTCGTGACTCTCTACTGCAGGTGATTTTTCCTCCAGGGGACATTTGACAGTGTCAGGAGGCCTTTTTGGTTGTCACAGCTAGAGGCAGGGCCTAGTCAGCAGAGGCCAGGGATGCTGCTAAACATCCTACCATGCACAGGACAGCCTCCAGAGCAAAGAACTCTCCAGGCCATCATGCCAGTGGTGCCCAGGGTGAGAACCCCTGGTTCTGCTCCCTAGAGCTTTCACTGCTCTGTGTTTATTCCCAGTTTATCAGGATAAGGCAGTAGTTTTCTTTTATAACTTACCTTTCCTGGCAACTGTTTCCTTCCACGCAGGAGAAAAAGATAAGCAAACAAAACAGTGCCTCAGGTGTGAGGTCAGTGGCATGACCGGCTTGATTTAAGAGTGGAGGTTTGGACGGGGTCAGCCTTTTCACTGTTGTTGAGGCCACCTTATTCCTGGTCCTCTTCTATGGGGTCCTGGTCCACCACCTACATAGAGTGATCTTGCTTTGCAGGGACCTGATCCCTGATGTTTGTAGCTGGTCTCTAGAGGGATTGTGCTCCAGAGTGATTCCCAGAGGAGCCAACATCTCTTCCAGAATAAACCACTGGAAATAATATTTGAGAGCTTCCAACAGATCTGAGGAATCTGGATCAATCTCCAAGGCTGACCTCAGGGTCCCCGTAGTTGTGTTTGTCTACGTGCCTGTAACGGCTGCTGGGGGACGTCTGCCCCGTGGCTATCTATCCCCGCGTAATTCTTATATTTGTTCATACAGAATCTGCTGGCTGTTCCTGGGTCCTATCTCACCTCCCCCCTCAGATATTTAAATCCTTGGGAACAGAGACTTCTGTGTCTTTTGCGGTCACTGGTGCACCCCCCAGCATGCTCAGCACGGTGGCTGGCTCTGTGGAGGTCACACTGTCAGCAAGCTAGGGAAAAAGACCATGTTAAAAAACAGGCCAGGGCTTCCCTGGTGGCGCAGTGGTTGGGAGTCCGCCTGCCGATGCAGGGGGCGTGGGTTCGTGCCCCGGTCCGGGAGGATCCCACATGCCGCGGGGTGGCTGGGCCCGTGAGCCATGGGCGCTGAGCCTGCGCGTCCGGAGCCTGTGCTCCACGGCGGGAGGGGCCGCGGCGGTGAGGGGCCCGCGTACCGAAAAAAAAAAAAACAACAACAACAAAAAAACGGGCCATCTGGGATGATGGGTGACGGTTTCCTGAACACTGTGCCCATCCTCTTCAGTCCTTCTTCTTGCCCATCTGTCGTTCTAGTGACCAGTGTCCAGTCACAAGCAGCCTCTTAATTTTGAAAGCATTCACATCTACAGCTTTCTCCTGACAAGGGAACAGCCCTTGGTCTCCGGGACCAAACAAGTGGATGTGCTGTCACTCACTGGGCCTGGCAGGCTGCCCCAGGTAGAGATGGGCAGGGCTTCTGAGCACTCCTCCGTCTCTACCCTGTCTGGCCTCCTCCCCAGCGCACTCCCCCAGGGTCACAGAGACCGCTGTGGACAGGACTTCATCCAGCCCTGACAACCTCTGATGTAAAGCAGCTGACTGGATGCCTCACATCCTGCCTAAAACCACCACCCTTTCCTCCCCACCCCCATCCCTTTTTAAAAAGAAAAAACAATTCCTCTGTCTAACGTGTAGTCTTTCGAAAATACAGTGGAGGCACCATGCCTTTAGCAAAACATGGATGCTCCTGTGGTGTGGCAGACAGGGCCCTTGTTTCCTGGCTGGTACTTTAGGGGTCTGCTCAGATCCCACAGCTGAGAGGAGGCCAGAGCTGCCCGGGGTCACTGACAAAACCGAGGGGCACAGACATCTCCACTTGGCACACAGCCCGCAGACCTCCTCTCCCCATGGGCTCTTTGGTTGACACCCCTCCCCCTCCTCCAGGTGCCCTCCTCCTGGGTCCTGCACAGCTGGACCCACACCTGCATGGCT